GGTTATTTTGGAAATTTTTATTAAATGATGGCATTTAGTCTCCATTTTAATCATTTGAATTTTAATGATCTAAAAAAGTGCTGCAATCTGCATATTAAATCTCATATTAGGATTTATTTCCAATACTTGTTAGAATAAAACATATACTTTAGGAGGCATTAAGAATGTAATAAATGTAGTTCTGCCCTTCCTGTAACATTACTTAGATATTCTGAAATAAACCAACTGTGTCTTAATTAGAGGGGATCATATTGCTTACCATGTTAAAATGTTTTCATTTCCAATTACTTTGATATTTGAGGGCCTCTTTGTGTTGTTGTTACAAAAACAGAGCTAAGGTATTTTTGCTGAGGTTTTATTTTCCTTTCTAATTCAATCTGAGTGCTTGAGGGCATTACCTTTTGGAATGTTGTGTATAATAGATTGCTTATTATGGCTTAAAAGTAGTCCTCAGATTTTTCCTAGTATGAGAGATTTCTCTTTTATTTGGGCTGCTCTAACTCCTGTGAATGTTATTTGACATCATTTACTTTTGTTTGTGTAATTAAAGAGTTACTCATGCTAACCTGTGATACATGATTACCAGTGGAAACTTTTCCTTCATTGAACTTAGGTAGAAATTGGAATATAATTGAAAAGGATAATTAAAAAATCAAAGGAATTGTTATCTAGGAAAAACAATGCATTTTCCCCTGCTATGTAAACATAACTTTCCAAATGCTCAGAAGGCCAGTTTTGCTTTTAGCCTGATTTGAAGTCATTAGGGACTTGGATTTTCTAGTTAGTTGTTAGGGACTTGGGATTTCAAGAAGGTAAACAGGGACTAACCTAAATGATTAAGTTTAAAGAACCTGGTTGTGGGAGGATTCAGTACCTCACAAAGATAACACTTAAATCCTGATGTCCAGGAGTTGGAAGACATTTCCAGGAGGAGAATTGAATCCTTTGAGGACTGAATAGGTAATTGAGTGTATATGGGCTGCCCTTACATGTTGAGATTCAGAAAACAAAATGGAGTTGGCTTTCGGGAGATGGAAGATGCAAAGACTCCTAAATGTTGGTACTTTAGAGCAGATAGAAACCACAAAAATGATTTGGTATAACTTGACCATCTTACACATTAAAATATTGAGACCCAGAAAGTTAAGTTCAAAGCCATAAGAAAAATGGTTCAGGGATTTATCCCTGCCAACATGGAGTTGACAGTTACTTCCTATGGAGAGGTCATTATTTATGGATTTTAATCTTCCTGTTCTGTGAGGTTTTAAGTGAGTATGTTTTTCCTAAATAGCGTCTATTAAACTGTAACTAAAAATTATACATATAATCTATGAAGATTTTAAGGAAAGCCATCTTTAGTTAAGATTAACATTAGAACTTTTACCTGTGTATGTTTTTTTTTTTTCTGGAGAATAGTAGATACTTTATTTAAGCACTTCCTTAAATAAAAAAAGACTTGTTTATTTTGGGTACCAAGTACTTTAAGAAAGTAAACATTGTAATTTTAATTTGATTTAGTGTTAATCAAATTGCAGAATAAATTATTTTGATTTTTATTTTCTTAGTTCTACTAGTAAAAAAGCGTTTTTTCATGGAGTAGGATAAATTTTTTTTCCATAGGCTAAGGCATTTGTGTGACATTCATTCTTTGCCCACAACTAGTTATTCCTTCTTCCCATCTCTGGTCTCTGGAACAAATAACTCTGATGGCTCAAACTAAAGCTTTTAAAATTTTAATTCTTTGTTTTTAAATAAATTGAGACCTACAGAAAAATAGAAAATAACACTCATGACTCATAACCATAGTACAGTATAGGAATTAGAAAATATACACGAATCGAGGACTGTTCACTAGTTTACAAGTCATATTGCATGTGGTGAGAGTTCCTTTTTTTATTGCCTCCAATCTGTGACTTTTGACTTAAGACATTTTTGAGGAATTATTTTGTGATGTATTCTGCAGTTTCTCTTGATCAGATTGAGGTTATCTATCCTGGGCTAGAAAAGAGCACACAAGTACTATTTTGTCACCTCAAACTAGTGCACCAAACTAGGGAGCACACATACATTTTAACTTGATCACTTTGGGTTAAGGTGCTACCTGTCATAAAAGTACTTTGTCCTCTCTTTATAATAATGTCATGTGGGGAGATTTCATCTATTCAATTATTTATGTGAATATAGCCTCACATTCTAATCTGTTACTGTCATTCTTATTGTAAGGTATAACTCGTATTAATTAACATATTTTTTATATACTAACAGCTCTGTCACTTGAGCTGAACCCCTGGCTCTTTTTACTTTACTTATTTTCCAGATAGGGTATTAAAGTCCCTGGTCCCCCCTCCCCCAGGGCTGGCCTTGAACCCTGAGCTCCCTATCTGTCCCTCTGCTGTAGTTGTGATTGCAGAATATACCATCATTTCATAAAGATTACGACTATATCTGAGTCATCTTACTCCCAACAGCTTTGTCTTGAAAACAATTGTGTTCTTCAGTTGCATGATATGTTCAAGACTGAAAAATAATAATAGAAACAGTGCTTACCTGTCTCCCAGATTAGACTGGTTTATTTACGTTTAGTGCTTAGCTTATTGCTCCCTTCATTTACCCCCTCACTCACCTGTTCCATCAGGCACTTACTGAGGACCAACCCACTCAGTATTTTAGAAGCTGGAGGCATAGGGGCTGGGAAGGTGGCTCAGTGGTAGAGCGCTTGCCTTGCATGCATGAGGCCCTGGGTTCGATTTCTCAGAGCCACATAAGCGAAAAGAAAAAAGCCAGAAGTGGTGCTGTGGCTCAAGTGGTACAGTGCTAGCCTTGAGCTGAAGAGCTGAGGGACAGCGCCCAGGCCCAGAGTTCAGCCCCCATGACCGGACCCCCCCCCCCCAAAAAAAAAGAAGCTGGAGGCATAGCAGGCAACAATTCTGTGGCACATTTAGTTATTAATAAAAAAAATCACAGGTGTTTATAGAAATTATAACTAAAATAGTAAATGTATTCTATCATCTAACTTGGTTTATGTGTATAGAAGGTTGTTGATTCTGTGTTACTTATATGTATGTTATATTAATGTCATATTTGCATTAATATTTAAAAGTTGTTTACCATTGATTCTTTTAATTTTCCTAGGCTTGATTACCTGGAAAACCATTTTTCCCCTCCCTGATTGGGTTACATTATATGGTACTTATTACAATAGATTGTTAAACATTGAACTGTTCTTAAATTCATAGTAACAAGTTCTGTATTATTTTGGTGCAATTTTTAATATGCTGGTGGATTTTACTTATTTTCCATCTGTAGTTTAAGCAATTTTTATGTATGATTTTTCTATGAGACTATTACTGTCAAGTTTATGTATTGTTGCTGTGCTAACTTAATAACAAGGATTAGGCAGTTTCTGAAGAAATTTAAATGATAAATTACCTAAAATGCTTTTATACAGAGATCTTGACTAAAACATATGTGAAGTTTTAATTAAAAATTTCTAATGCTCTTTGGTTAAGCAAAACACTATCTTGATACTGGATTATTATGAAGGATTTCATGATAAAACTAGAAGTATAAAAATAACTATACTTTTACATTTTATAGTATAAGACACGCAAATGCAAAGTACAGTTTATAAAAATGTACTTTATTACATAAAGTACTAAAAAAGTGAATTCTTGTCATATCCAAGGTACTCTCTTGCTTTTATACTGTTCCCATTTGCTGTTGCTGAAGCAGAAAATGGGCAGGGTTTTCTTTTTTTGAGTGGTTAAGATTTGATAATTGAGTAAGAACACCTTTGACCTAAACCTTTTTCCTGTGTTGGATATTAACTGATTTAAGTAAATGGTTAAGAAAATTAACCATCTGATAGTTCCTTAATATTAGTTGGCTGAAATTTCTTATTTGGAATATATGCAGCATTCGCTTACTTGGATGAAAGTATTTTTCCCAAGGAAGATAGTAGGTAGGCATTGTTATATAGAGTGCAGTGAGCATTAACCTAGTTGCTCACTAACCATAATGACATTCCTTGTGGCTTGTTCCACTGTCCAGAATCCTGTCCTCTAGGACCTGCTATAAGCTTAATAGATACTTGAAGTAGTAATCAAGTTTCTTCATAGGATTTGATTCATAAAGTCATCTACCTAAAAAATTATATATGAGCATTTAATGTAGTTTCCTTTTAAATGTCTTTCTAGCATTTTCAATAATCCAGGATTGTTTTATTTTCCTTAACCTTTCTTCCCTTGAAATTTCTTGATGCTTCAATCCATGGTATTACCTTTAGCTATTTATTATATTTTTGTAGAATTTGGCACTGTTGGATCACCTTAGCATGAATGACACCTCGCTTTCAGGTCTCCTATCTGCTCCATGTCTTCTCTGTTTGGATCTTACCTCTCTCCTTGAATGTTGCTTTTCTTAAGGTTCATTCAGTTCTTTCTTCCTTTGCCTTCTCTAAGACATTACATCTCATATAGCTTTAATTGCTAAAAAAAAATTATGTATCTTACATATACTTCTGCCAAACTTGTAGTTTATTGTCTATAAAACATGTTTGACTATTGTAAAGATATCTAAAATGTTAGTTAAATGTATAGTTTAAATCTCATTCCAACAGATTTTAAAAGTATAAAAGGGCCTTTGGTACTAGGTTTTTTTGGGTGGGTATATGTGTGTATGTGTGTGCGTGTGCAGGCATACGTACTTTACCGAGGCTATTTGAAATGATTTGCCTCATTAAACATGAAAATTTAGGTAAAATAAGTTGTCATATTGTTTTAAAGTTCAGGCTCAGAAGTTTATTTTGATAAAATGTATCATTTGATAAAATGTAAAATTTGATTTATGATAGAATGATAGAATAGGCCAGATGTTGTTCATTGGAGTTGTTAACATTTTATCAATGAAATCTTCCCCTTACCTCTCTTTTTTTTTTAATCCTCTTGGGCTAGCAAGAACTTTTTTTTGTCTAACACATTTAAAATTTTTACTTTTAACAGAAATTAGCAGAGTACGGAAAGACATGTACAATGACACATTAAATGGCAGTACAGAGAAAAGGAGTGCAGAATTGCCTGATGCTGTGGGACCTATTGTTCAGTTACAAGAGAAACTTTATGTGCCTGTAAAAGAATACCCAGATGTAAGTATATTTTGTTGCTTTATTCAGCTTTTTTTCTGCTTCACGTGCTGTGGGAAGAGATAAATTTGATGATAAATAAGCATAATCAGCTACTTTAAAAGATTACATGGAGGAGGGGCTGGAAGTATTAAATAATTTTATATGGATAGTTTGAAATTGTTCTTTGTAAACCAGGCAAATGGCTCACACCTGTAATCCTAGCTGCTGGGGAGGAAGAGATAAGAGAATTGTTGTTTAAACTGAGTTCTGCAAAAACTAAAAAAATAAAGCAAGACTCTTATCTTGAATAACAAGCCTGGCATATTGGAACATGTCTGTAAATCCAGGTATACAGGATACATAGGTAAGAGGGTTATGGTCCCACTCTTGACTCAAAAGAAAAGTTGAAGTCACCTGAAAAATAACTACAACTGAAAAGGCTTTGTGTCTCAAGTGGTAGAGTAGCTGCCTTGGCTTGTGCAAGACCTGGGGTCAAGCCCCAGTACTTCCAAACAAAACAAATAGCTTCCTCATCTTGGTTGCTTTCTTAAATATTCTCTGTAAGCATCTTATAAATAGTATTCTTGTTCTGCAACAGCTGATTACTAAAATCCTGATTCTGTGTTTGTTACAAAGCTCTATATGATACAGTCCATTTAGTTTTCTCTGACCTCTTCTTACATGACTTTCTCTCTTCTTCACTGAGTTGTAATCACATTGACTTTTAGAACAAGTCAAATCTATTCCCAGCCTCAAGACCTTTAAATTTACTTGTACCATGCTGTTTACTGGCTTCTTTTCACTAAGCATTGAACTTAAATATCCCTTCAGAAGCTTCTCCTGGCCAGTTCATCTCAAAGTCATCTGGCTGTGTTTTACATAGTTGAGTTAGTGTCTGTCTCTTGCTCTCTGCAGCAGCACTTTTGGTATTTTTCTTGTTTATTTTTTCCTCTCTTCCCAGCAGTACATAAAATAAGAACTTTTATTTGCTGCTCCATCTCCCATATTGTTGTCACATAATAGCATCCAATACCTGTTGAATAGATAAAGGAAAAATGTGGCTTCTTTCCTGGTTTCTGAAGACTTCTTTGAAAGCATATGGAAAAAGGAGTTGGTATTATAATGTCAGAAATGTGATTTTTAAGTAGGAGAACAGATTATTAATCTTTATATGAGAAATAAGGGTCTTAAGCTGGGTTAATTAGGAAAAAGTTTAACTTTCACAGTTTTGTATTTCCAGTATGTTTTTATAATTTACATGTTTTCTTTTTATAAACATGGATTTTTGTACATTGTCTTTACAGTTTGTACATTTATTACTATAAGCATATTCGGTTGTAAATATGCAAATAATTCAGGTTAATGCCAGCTAAAGAAGAGTTTGTGGGAACATTTTGGGCAATAACAAACATTAGAGGCATTTTCTGGAGAGCAAACATTCACATGAGGGCAGAAACTCCAGGGAGGGAGAGAGGGAGAGTAATAGAGTTGTAATTCATAGGAGGAGAGAAGTAGGTACAAAACAATGTGATTTCCACATTTTAAAAAAGTTCCTTGAAGTTTTAGTTACAAGAATTTGTTCAGCAAAATTGGAATAGATCATTGTTACGGAAAATTTTCTTCTTTAAGTTACTAATACATACTGATAGTCATTGCTTTAGGGGTCAATACAAGGAAGATTGTCTGACATTTTAAAAATGAAATCGGTGATTGTTGTGTCTACATTTGTCAGTATAAGAAAAAGATATATTTTAGAACTGTGAATTACATATTTCCTGTATGAAACATATGCATTCTTTTTAAACTTAATTTGTCTTGGAGATTATTCCATATGCTTCTCTTTCTGCTCCTGTTTATATGGAAGCTTGCTTTTGTGAGTGCATTTATATTATTTGGCTAAAACAATTTTATTAAACTCAAGTGGCAGAGTGTATAATAATCAGAACTGCAAATGCAGATCCCAGATTATAGCAGCTCTTCTTATTTTGTGTACCTGGGGCATTTATTTGCCCCTCTTAATTGGTTCTCACTGTATCATCTCTACAGTGGTGATATTAATTTAATCTTAAGTGAGTTCATACTTGGAAAACACCTTGATGATATCTAAGTGTTAACAGAATGTAAGTTCTATGAAGGCAGAATGACTTTGTTGCTTTTTTCCTTTATCCCACTGTTACATTCTAAATGCTTAGAATAGTGTCTGGTAAATTGTAGATGCCTGCTAAGTATTTAGAGTGTGTGTGTGTATTTATATGTATATAAGTATAGGTATAGATAAATATATATGTGTGTGTAATTTGTGGTATTAAATGGAAGTAGTTTCTATCTATCTATCTCTAATCTATCTATCTATCTATCTATCTATCTATCTATCTATCTATCTATCTATCTATCTATCTATCTATCTATCTATCTATTCTATCTATTCTATCTTGCTGAGGATGGAATCCCCAAGGCCTTAGCCTCTTAGCACTGATAATCAAGTACTCTACTATTGAACTATATTTCCAGCCACAGATAGTATGTGGACTTGTCTGTGTAGACCTTTGGGACTGAGTAGTTTGGCTGAAGTTCTGTCAATTAAGAGCCAGGCCTAGGCTAGCTGTATATGTTCTAGACCTTCTCCATTTTCATCCCTGTTGGACTTACACTTAAGATCCAGTGGGTATTCAGGGTATGCTCATGTCATGAGGGTCATCAGAGCTGTGTGTGTCTTTAGAGCTAAGAAAGAATGTTAAACAGATAACTTGCACATCCCAATTCTCCTTTCCCCAGACTGGTAAATTGAATGGGCTGAGAAACAACCTAAGCCTTACCATGCAACTTACTGTGTGTTTATTTAGGTTGAGTATCCCTTACCCAATGTGTTAGAGATTTGATACTTTTCAGATTTTGGAGAGTGTGTGTGTGTGTGTGTGTGTGTGTGTGTGTGTGTGTGTGTGTGTGTGTGTGTGTGTGTGTGTGTGTGTGTGTGTGTGTGTGTGTGTACACACGCACATACACATTATACACACATATAGATATAATGGTAAATCATAGGGATATCAGAAGATATCACCATATCTGAACATGAAACTCATTTATTATATGTATACCTGAGAATATATGGTCTGAATGTAATTTTGTACACTGTTTTTTTTTTGTTTGTTTGTTTTTGTTTTTTTTTTCTGGGCATGAGGCTGAACTCAGGGCCTGTGCACTGTTCCTGAGCTCTTTTGCTCACGACGAACTCTCTATCACTTTGAATCACAATTCTACTTTTAGTTTTTGAGTGGTTAATTGGAGATAAGAGCCTCACGGGGACTTTTCTGCCCCTGCTGGCTTTGAACTTGGATCCTCAGGTATTAGCCTCTTCAGTAGTAAGGATTACAGGCATGAGCCACTGGTGCTCAGCTTATACACTGCTTTTTAGTGGTATACATTTTGACAGCAATCATTCATATGAAGTCAGATATGGAATATTCCATTTGTGAAGTGTCATTTGTGTTTGTAATTAGAAGTTCTAGAGTTTGGAGCCTTCTGGGTGTTTTGTGTTAGGGTTTTTCACTTTGTATTAGGTGACCTGAATTTGAATCATTTATACTTTATTATGGTCTCATTTTCAACAGAAAACTACCTTAGTTTTTTTTGTATATAACCTGCTTTAACTTTACCATATTGAAATAAAACTTTTCAACAGGTAGCCTTGGAGTTAATTAACTAAAATTTTGGTTAATTCTTTCATTAGGAAAGCATAGTTTGTGTCAACAAACCTAGACATAACAAAGTAAGTTTATAAACTTTTACTGGAAGTACTGGGGTTTGAACAAAGGGGCTTTTTGCTTGTTAGGTACACTCCCGCTTGAGCCATATGGGCATTCTTATTCTCTCCCACATAGCTGGTATTAGGGACCTGAGCCACCATGCCTGGCCTGAAATTAAAGTTTGATCACCATTAAAAAAAAAAAATTCTTCTTCAAGTTCCAAAATAGTTCTAGTTAGCAACTTAGATATTGTAAACTTGGTCATCTCTTTTACCTGTGGGATAATTTTTTTCCTTATTATGTGGTAAGGAATTTTGACTGTGTTTAAAAATAAGTTTATGCTATGTTTTTGAGATTAAAGTACAGGACATTATAAGATTGTATCTAAACTTTGTTAATTTGACACTTAAGGGAAGCGTAAAATAAAATTTAAAAAATTAGAGAGAAACTAAGTACATGAAAGTTAGAGTCTGATGGTGTAGCCCACTGGCAAAGCACATGCTTTAAGTTCAATTTTGACCTGAACACCATCCCCTCCCCCCAAAAAAAGGAAAAAAAAAAGGAATGGAAATAGAAGGGAAAAAATGGAAAAAGAAACAGATAAAAACAGCAAAATTTTTGTGTTTCTTTAGTCAAACCGGTGCACGGTGTGCTAGGTAACTGTGCAAAGACAGTCTCCTATTAACTCCCACAGACACAGTGGAAAACAAGGGCCTAGACCAGGCACTAGACATTACAGTGAAAAGTTCTTTTCCGTTACAAAGTGGAGACTGGCAGTGAGGGAAACTCAGCTAATAGTGCCTCTCTTCAGGAACAGAGAAGACAGAATATAGAAAAAGAGTATAATAAAATAGTGGAAGCAAAAGTAAGATGTGATAAACTTACCATATTAAAAATCACATAAATTGACTTCATAACAATGTAAAAGTTTGCGTTCAAAAATATTCAATTTGACTTTCAGAACAGTTTATTGGTTGATAATTTTTGTGCAGAAAAACTTAGCTATCAGCTTTACAAGCCTTCCTGATCTATGATCAGAACTTGGCATTTCATCTCCCATACTTGTCTCGAGGTGAAACTGGTTTAGCCCAGCCTTTTTTTAAGAAAACATGTTCTTTTTTAAAAATTTTTTATTGTGAAAATACCGTACAGAGGGTTTACAATTACATGGGCAAGATAATGAGTACATTTCTTATCAAGCATTGTAGCCTCCTCCTTTGTTTACCCTTCCCAGGTTCCCCCCCGCCCCCCCAAACATGTTCTTTTTAGACATTATAC